TTCAAACATTTCTTTGATTCCAAATATGAATAAAAATATTACATGCATCAAGTACATAATATACTATTATAGAAAATAAACACATGTGTGTAATATAATGCATATTGTCATTACATTATATTTATTATACAGGATAATACCTAACTTAAACGTCTTAAATACCTTACCAGTCTTTTATGATAAGAATAATTATCAGAAGAGTACATGATTTGGTTTGAAAAAGAACCAATATTGTGAGAGATAACAAATGTTTTTGAAAGTAAAATTTGTCGAGAATAATGAATAAATAATTCAGACATATCTTTTCAAGATCAGCAATGTTTCTTTGAAATGGAACTGTACATTATTATAACCAATACGTAATGATCAAGACCAATCCAATGACCTATGATATCATGATTTTGTACGAGCTTTATGTGACCTTGTGTAATATTACATGTACATTATAAATGTCAATGTCTCGATTAAATAGTCCTTTTATAAAAGGTCATCCCTTCAAAGCAAATCACGTTTCTCTTTGACATTTTTTATTAGCATAAAAAACAAGTTAACGGAAATTTGAAGTGATCAAATCGGGTGATACACCCTATATATGGAATACACAGACTTACCATCGTAATCAACAGATCCGTCACCTTTTGTAGGCGGCAACGGGTTTTGTTTTCGATTTTCGATAGAATTATCTGCGTGCGTTTGTGGGCGTTCGCTATCTCGTCGTCTACTAAAACGTTTAAGCGTAATTATGAAACTTTTTAAGTATATTTCAAGCGACATATTTTACGTTTGACAATATTTCTGAATACTTGCACAGTAATGTGATTTTGCATCACAGAGGGTGGAGATATCTCATCTGCCGCATCGTAATAATCTTCATCTTCGTCCGAAGATGAATAAGAGAATTGTGGTACTGGAAGATCTCTATCTACAACGGCTTTTCAAGAAAAATGTAACGGTAATATTCCAAATTATTTTTTAAAATAATAATAAAATAGTGAACTAGATATTTTTAAACTGTAATTATCACTTCTACATTGTAAAATACAAATAACCGAAGCAAAATTACCATTTGGCAATGTAGGTACTCTTGGTTCTACACATTCAGAGCCTAACTCAATACCAGTTTCTACAGTTGCTTCTGGTTCTCTAGTAGCAACTGAAATTTATTTTATGAGAAACTTCCTATCGTAAATAGATTCTGTATATTGTACCTAAATAATTACCATGAGATAAGGCAGATTGAACATGTATTGAGTCAGTGGGTCCCCTATATATTCCATTTACAGGTATTGCTGTATTCTAGAAGTACAATATTTGTTATGTACATTATATTAGATTTAATTGAATGTATTAAATGTATTTACAAAATTCGATTAAACTATATACTATTATCATAAGAAATTTTTACCTTCGCAATTTGTAACTGCACTATTGTATGCTTAACAGAATTAAGCATTGCATTAGCTTGTGTTAAAATTGCTGTATACTTCTCTTGCTTTTCTTCATCTTCTGTATCTATTGCGTTTCTCTGTTTTGTTTCAATTACTTTTATTTGATCTATCAACAATTGAAGGTAAGCATCTGCTTCAGCTACTTTGCGATCAAAATCTTGTTTAGGTGGAGATTTTTTGGGATCCCATCTCTAGAATGGTAATAAATCTATTCTGTTATCTAGTTTTAGGCTGAATTCTATTAATAAATGTAAACAGGATAAATTTATCATACAGCATGAGAATGACGTAATATAGTATCCTCCAAAGCACGAATCCAGCGCTCTCGTTCTTCTGCATTCCGTGTTTGGAAATGAAATGTTTTTGGATCATCCTTATATGATGATGTTGTAATTGTAAATGTGCTGTCATCTTCATCATCTATGCCAATAATAGCACCTCTTAAACGTACACATCCTCTTCGTGCTCCTCTCATCATCTTTTCTTTACTCTAAAATATAATAAAAGTGAAATGTTAATTTAAAAGGTAACATTAATACAAACTAGGACACTAAGTAAAATAATCAGTAAACAATCATGGAATTAATAGAAAAAAAATGTAAATTTTGCAAAATGTAAAAAAACTAGCACAGATATTAAAATATCTTTTCAAATATGACTTATTCTTATCACTTACATTTGATAACAAATGATTTTCCTAAACACTTTAAAAGCAACTTTATTATTCGAAATTAAGAAATCAGCTGATTATGACAGATAGATTGTTGTTTTAATAAACGGTTATAACGATGTAGGATAAGAAGAACAGAAAAAACAAAACATTCGTGTGGGAAAAGTGTACATCGGATTACAATTCCTTCATAAATTATATACTAATTCAATTTTTTGATAAAGTAATGGGGTGTGTAACCTATTAACAATACATACCAAACAAATTTAAAATATATTGAAATTGTTCAAACAACGTTACCGTATAGTATGATAAAAGACCGGCGTTGTCATCCAGAACAAACCATCGATATTGCCATCCGTTAACAACATTTGTCCATTTGCTAAGCGAACCTTCCATCGTCGACATTGTTATTTGTTGCTCGCTGCTATCCACGACATATATACAGGTGTATGTACATACAGATGCGTATATAAATACGTGTTTCTGTACGAACGTATAGAAAGGTAACTCTATAAGAAGATTTACATAAGACGAATTTTCAAATATCATTACATATATCAAGATTAATTCTTTATCTTGCAGACGAACGATACCATATTTAAATTCCGTTGATTTATCGGTGATACAATGCATGCGCGTAACTTTCAATGTGAATGTACCATTCCCTTCCTATCGAAGTTCACGGGCTTTTGTTTGTTGAGATAGGATCCCGTGCAAGACAAAAAAATCCTTTGTACCGGCTTACTATCTTCCTAGTTACTTCCTGTAGTCGACGATTATGAAAGATTCCGTTAAGATAATAATAAAATAGTAAATATGTACAGAGTAGAGTACCGAAAGCAGTGGAAATGGTTAAGTGTACGTTAATGCGATAATCAATTTTCTGTGTAAATTAAAACTAATTCAACTACTTTCTATTAAGTAAACAAATTATTCCCGATCCAGATAAATATTCGAACCGAAGAAAACAGCTTTGTACATTTGGTTTAGCCATTTAAGAAAGATCAGGCAAGTAGTATGTGTTTGCATTCAGCTGATTAGCTGTTTTTTCACTAATAAGCTACATATGATATGTCGTCGCGTATATGTATGTAGTACCATACGTATATTCGCGATTGTGTGTCAGTGACAGATAGGCATAGAACAGTGACAAATAAAATCGCATAACACGTAAATGCGGTTCATAAATGTCTTGTAAATCCGTATGGTTTTCTATAATTTATTACATATATGCGTATGTGCAACGAATTACATTTTAGCAAGATCTTTTATGAAAATTATAAAAGAGGCATTGATGTTCTTAGACAACAAAAATTCAGTGCTAAAGTAAATGATATGGAAAATTGACAAATGCTATGTTTAGTCTAATGGGTATTGTGTATAAGTGAATCAAAATAATTAGTAACAAGTATTGGAATTCAACAGCAAATATTAAATATGGAAGAGAAGCACGGTTCAAGTGTATTGGAAGACGAAGAAGTGGAAGAATCAGAAAATATAATAATTAACGAAATTGATGGTTTACCCAACTTACATCCTAATTATCAACAATTAGAACTGGAATTTGATGTAGGGAAAGGTCACAGCGAGGCTAATACAAGATCTTTAGAAGATTTAGTGCATGATGAAGATTTACCAATATCGGTTATAGTAACTAATGTGGATCCTCGTGTATTTAGCAGCGATGAGTTAAAGGTATATCAAATAAATTAGATCGCATAATATGGACAAGATTCATGGATATATGTTCAGTGGAATATCTTCTTTGTTACAGCATGAAATAGAGGATCTATTTAAACAATTCGGTGAGGACGCTACTTTTCAGTATTTTAGATCATTTAGAAGAATGAGAGTAAACTACAATTCCCCAAATGCAGCTGCTAATGCTAGGATACAGCTGCATCAAACTCACTTTGGTGAGACCAGCATCAATTGTTATTTTGCACAGCCTGTCACTCCAATAGGTTTGTAAAAGTATATTCATATAATTTCACTAAAAGTATATTCATATAATATTACTTTTCTAATAACGACAATGTATTCCACAGATATGGAAGATCAACATCTCCAGCCACCAGCGCTTACTAAACAGTTCCTAATTTCACCACCAGCTTCACCGCCTATCGGTTGGAAGCCTAGAGAGGAAAACGAACCTTTAGTTAATCACGATTTATTAGCAGCTATAGCAAACCTATCTTCAGGTTTGAATTCTATTCATGAACATGATACAATTAATAGCAAGTAGTTTTCTTTCACGTTCTCATTTTGCAGGTGGTAGTCACGAATTACATCCTGGAGGTTCAGGACAGCCAGGAATAGTCGTTCATGTTTGTGAAACAGCAAATCCTATAAAAAATGCTCCACGCATACAACATACACGTTGTCCAGAACATTCATAAGTAGCGTTGCTAGAGATATTGTCTATTTTATGACAATGAATTATTTATCCATCCAAGAAGAAACTAGAGGCATTACATACAACGGCATTCAATACACAAAACTTTTTATTGCTATATCGCAAAATTGACAATTTTTAACTTGTGGCAGTAGCGTCACAAAAAATGATTTGTAAACGCGTTTTGCTAAGGCAAGTACATGTGAGTATTTTACAAGAATTATGAATAGAAAACGCAATTGTATTTAAGATTGTATCACGAGAAATGTTTCTCCTTTCAGATATACAATGTTATTTTTTGCTGAAATTTAAAACAAAAATATATCATGAAGAATGTTATATACATAACATTATGTTGTTACACATGAAATAATTGATTTTATTCATAAATGCATAAGAGATGTTTTAAAGACAATTAATTAAATTAAATAGGTATATGTTTCGTTTCTTTCGAGATACTATTATCTAAATGAACAACGGATCTGGACAAAATT